CCAGTGATCGAAGACCTCCAATCGTCTTGTGTCTTCAGCTGTCAGCGTCCAGGTTTCACAGCCGCAGTCCTGATTTAACCCCCCTTGAATTTAATCCATCTGCCTCAGCAAAGGTCGCTTACCGCGGCAGCGTATTTTGTAACATGCGTAACACATGCCCCAACCAACGTAATCTATGCAGGTGGTCCGCTTGCTCCAGTGGGCTACCGTGGATACTCAAAACTCTGCGCCTAACCTCATCATTCCTTGTTCGGTTTCCCCACTAGATTCGTGTATTGCGATGTGGACAGCATACCGTCGGATTCCTTAATTACTTCACTTGCGGCTATTTTCCTGGGTCCGTATTTCTAATTAGACGGAACAGATTACGACGACTACCAATAGCCACAGTTTTCTCTATCTCGCTACACTTTCCTACCCACCACTTCTCACGGTCATTTCTCAGACTCTTGATGAGGTGGCCTTTAAAGGATTTGTGCGCTGTCATATGTAGCATCAAGAGAAAGGGTTCTGCGGGCGTCCAGTAGGGCAGCCGAGGTCGACGAGATCCATCGTTTTTGTTTTGCGCCTGCTCCAGAGTCCACCGTTCTTTTCATCGATATTTGCATAGCTTCCTTGGTTTGCTTCCAGTGTTCATTTTATCATTCAGCTGGCGGTTGAACTGGTTGGCAGTTGGAGAGATCCGCTTCGAATGCCGTTATGTAGCAATCGCCGACATTGTATTTTGGGTATCCCTTGTCGGTTGCTTTTTTGCGGTTACTTGCCAGGTGTAAGGAGAATTTGGCTCGTAACAAAGCGTAGTCTGTACCCGCAGGTGTTGATCAGTGAGAGTGGCAGTCGTGAATCGACCCCCTCCAGCGATGCTACTGTCATCGATCACAACTTAGATCGTTATAGACCTTCCCTCGATCAGAGGTATGTGAGTACAGTGACATCAGTAGGCATTCTTCTTCGAAGAAGGAAACCCATTAAAGTTTCGCGGTCACCTGAGTTGAAGGCTCCTTTCGGGTCAAGGAACAACGTTTGCCTTGGGTTACCTCCATTGTCTCTGGTTGCAAAATGCTGGTGACCCGAAGTAATAGATTATGGACCAAAAATAAATGAAGGTTATTCAAGTGTGAAGAATTGAGTAGTTTCTTAGTGTGGTAATGTAAAAATTTGTGGAGCCGACCGCCAACACCTCGCCCGGAGACCTCGTAGATTTTGAATGATAGTATTATTGGTTTGCTTGGTGCATGTGTCCGTAGGTTGTGTATACATGTTACCTTCTGGAAAGGATTTGACCTGGAGATCCCCAACGGAAGCCTTTGGATATGAAAGTCAAGCAGATTGGAACTCAGAGTCCTCAGTTCACTGGAGTGTACACCATTTGGACTGGGTCGAACGTCCAAAGGTGGTTAATACACCTCGATTTCCATTTAAGCCGTTGATCACCGCCAAAGCTAGCGAATGGATTAATGTCGTTCATACACCCGTTTTGCGTTTGTTTGCACTAGTTTTTTTTAACTCTCCTGCCAGTGGTTCATCAATCCGTTTAGGGCTCCGTATGTACAATTTTGTTCTCAATTTGGTTGGGCAATGTCGCCACATGAAGGTAGTGAGTAGAGGTGCTCCAACAGAGGCTGCTTTAAACACTCTGTCATATGGGAGCGTTTCGCGGGTGACTAAGAAAGATCCGTGACTCTGCTGAGGTTTTCGGTGGCTCTGTCAACGTATTGACGTGTCACTCACCACTAATCTTGCAAGCACTGTGCAGTTGTTTCATTCGCTTCCAGATACAAATCTCAGTGGATTCGCACTGTGTATACTGTTGATGCTTTTTAACGAGGATAAAAAAACAACTGTGCAGTGTCCCGTCTACTCTACGTGAAAATACACTATACATAAATACTCTGTTTTTCACTCAGAATACCGGTGACCTGGTTATTTGCCCATAATATTCCTAATTCGAACAACATAGAAGAAGACATCAATAAGAATATGGGGCATCATGTTTCGCATCTGACTTTCCATTGTTTTTGTTTTAATCATCGACGCACAGTGTTTGCGCTCTGAAATTGACGGGTCCCTAATACAGTTGGTTCTAGTTAAATCCAGAGGATGTTTGGTGGTAGATATTCTCCTTGAGTAACGTGATACACCCAATTCATACACCGAAAAGCATTCGATTGCATGCTTGAAGTGTCTTAGGGAAGCAGCAGCTCCCACCGATTCCATTTTGGGTGATGCGGCACCTAGCTGGCTATTGAGGTTAAGGACTGAGTATTTTGCATTCTTCGTTATGACTCTCAAGCAATCAGAACAGTGTGCGAAAGAACTCGGCACACAGATTTTGGCTTCATTTTTCAAATATTTTTTTAACTAGACAGAAAGGACACCAAGTACCGTTCATATTTACCACCCTATTTTCATGTTTTGTTTGCTGTTTTATTGGAAGGTCATAGACAACCTAGCACGAGCGCCACTGTTTGCGACACCCAGCCATATCACTCAGTGTAGCTAAACATCGG